CCCCCCCTTGATTTCGGCCAGAAAGGGCCGGACGAGAGAACCGCTCTCAAAGGCGCATGGGCTCCTGACGTGGTCCCCCAGGAAAAGAAAAAGGCCGCAGCTCCCCTCCGCAAGCTGCGCCGCCGAAACCCCAAAGTACGTTGGAGCAAAAGAAGCAGCAGAAGGAGCAAGTAATTTGTAAATATCCCCTTTTTAGGCCCCCATTTTGCTTACCTATTTTTGTTTTTGGGTATACTGGCTGACGGGTGCGAGGCTTGGGGGCCGCACATACGGTAAGCCTGACTAGGGGTGTGCACGCATCTACAGAGGGTAGCGCATTTCAAATAATAATTAGCGCACGGTATCTACTGTGAACCCGTTGCAAGCTGACCGGTCCCTATCTGCTTCCGCGTAACAATAGATCGAGAGTACACTCGCTCACTTGGATACATACAAACCATGCTATCTGTGCCATCAGCGCTCACAGCGTATGTTCCATTAATGTGCGCTCACAAATTGAGACTACAGTATCGAGTAAGCACTACACACGACGATTAAGTTGCTGTCTACATAGATGCGAGCACGTGTGCGGTAGCGCAAACCATACCGGTCGGTGTGGTAAGTTGGACTGTCTGTACGCAGTGCTATACTTTAGTCCCCCTGTCCATAATGGTCGAGATAAGAACTCGGTTCAGTCGCGGGTGGCTATAAGGTGTACCCGCCGCGCGCATAGATACTGCGTTGAATACAGTTGACAGACGCGCGGTCAGCTTGCCAGTATCGCTGCAGTATGGCCTGTGCCCAGTAAGTGACTTGCTTGGTCATATAGACTGATACATCAGAAGCGTAAGCACAGTAAGCCAGCACGACGACGCAAATGTACCGTGAAAGCGACAGGGACCCTATGCATAGGTTGTGGCTATCCCGAGGGCATAGCATATACACCCATTTGAGACCTTGCGAAATGAGCTACGCACTGACACATCAAATAGCACGCCGAACTGAAAAGTAGACAGCGAAAGTACTTTATGTAACGTACACGGGCTACTATTCGATACAAGTCTACGTATCACTACGATCTGATAATATGCCTACAGCCAAGTGGCTTCGTATGCTCGCCATACATATCGGAGCCAGTAAAGA